TCAGTTATGTCAGTTGTTAAAATCATATACCTGACATGCTTGAATTTGAAACTGGGTAGTGTTTTGAAGTTTAATTCAAAGAGGAAATTGTTAATTTATCACAATTTCTTGACTAAACAAAACAAAAACTGTTACTATGAATCAATGATTCATATAAAACAATACGAACCTCTAATTATGATGTGCAGGGTTTGCAGTTATTGTTAAAAACGCTTTCATCTCTTCACAACATAAAGGCTTTGTCATAATTTATCATCAGAACAGTAAAGCACACAAATTGATTCTGTACAATTTTCAGTATTATTGGTAAATTTTTATAGGAATAGTTTTCATTAATGCTTGAAAACTGAGCTATATTTTACTTTATATCTTATCAAGTTAGTTGGAGAATATCTATTGTTGTAAAACTGTCAGCACATCTCTAACATTTCTTTTCCAGGCTCAGGTCACCTGCTCTATGCTGCCCACTATAGGAAATGTAATTTGGTAATAAGAAATGTAGTACTACATACTAGGCTTACTTTATGGCAAGCCCATAAAAAAAATTCCCTAGCTACTTGGGTGCTAAGATACAGTGTTCTTGCAAGGGATACAGACTGATTAGTGGTAACCAAATTTATTAAACATAAGGGACATCAGTAGGAACAGACAGGCCCAGAAACTGTATCTTCGTCATCCATACACCAGCAGAAGCAACCGGTGCGGCAGGAGATGGGGCGTGGAACTTAGTGAAGGAGCAGCTTGCAGAAAAGCTGCAGTTCTGCAGCGCTAGAGAGGAAATTTTAGGGTCAAAATCAGGAAAACAAACACTTCGAAAAAAAGTCATACAAACACAAATGATTGCTGCAATTGTAAAACATTTAAAGTCAAATATTCCTGTAATTCTTGTATAGCATATTTGTTTCATCAGATGAGTCTTCTTCCTTTACACTCAATAATCTTTAGGAGCAATTACCATTACAGGCCAACTTTTGTGACGCTTTTTCTAACCACTGTAAAGCTGAACCTTGTAGTAATCTGATAAACATCAAGTTTTACACTTATGTTTTCTCTTTGACTACAGTATATCTAAAGTGTTAAGGAGTTAAATTCTATCATATACTTTAGGACTCCATTTTGAAGATTAGACTCTTCTACAGTAAAGGAACATTCAAGTCGATTCTCTAGTTTCATATCAAATCTTAAAAACTTTAAAGAGGAGTTAAAATGTTAGCGTCACTCTAAGTCTTTAGCTTTTGCTATTTGCCCTGAAAAGCAAAACAAATTATGTTTGTAGGTTTTACACACACACGCACACGCACACACACAGAGCAGTCAGTGGAAACCTGCCCTGCAAAGTAAAAACAGGTCACCCCTTCACTCTGATTGGAAATAAAGGCGACTGGCTTGCCCAATGCAGATACTGGAAAAATACGCTCTAACATGTAGACTGAGAAGTAATAGCACACAATCTTAGATCTCTACTCTGACACCTTCAATTCCAGGTTGGACGCCTTCATCCCCACCGTAGCCCCGAGCGCCATCCTGGCCCGGCGTCCACGCGTCCCGCCCGCTCCGGGCACCCGGCCCCGGTACTAGACTCCTGGGCTTCTTGAGTCGCTGGGCAGTGGCCTCTGGGGCTCCGAGGCCCACGGTACAGACGAAGAGACCCACAGACTCCGGCGTCTAAAAACTCCCGAAGTCTTCCTGCCTGTGTGGTGCGGCCACGGCCACCGCTGCTACACCGCATCCGCCGGTCCACGGCCCCTCGGATCCCAGTCAGCGACCGGGAGCGTGAAAAGCAATCAAAGCCGCCAAGAAGGCGCATCAGTTTCCCGGAGCTGTCATCCACAGCTTTCCCTTCTCCCCTTAGTTAAAATTACTCTGGCGGCTTCTCACGCTTCCTTCTAAAAAATGAAAAAGTGAAAAAGCGTAGAGGTGCCAGAGGTCGTTGACAGTTCCCGCGCAAAGTGGTCCTCCAGCCTCCGTCCCTCAGGCCGGCTTTCCAAACTCGGAAGCATCCTCAGCCGAGGTATTCCATGTTGACAGATCTCTCGCCTCCCACAAAATGGGGCCGAGGGGGCGGCCGCTGTCTCCTCTATGGGCGCCGCCATTTTGTGAGGCGGCGGCGGCGGCGGCAG